AGGTAGGCATAGGGCTGCCAAGTGGGGGCAGGGAAACCCCCGCTTTGGAGGCCCGATTTCCGCCATGGCGGAATCGGGCCCCGGGGGGAACTCCGCCCCCAAAGCTGTGTCACCAAAGGTGACGCAGCCACGTCACTCACGTTGGGGCCGTGGCCCAGATTGTCGGGGTCCTACGCGGGGTCCTACGTGTGCGTCCTACGAGAACTCCCGGAGCCAGGCGAGGCTCCCCCGCTGCCAAGGGTAAGTACACTTGGCAACCCTAGGGAGGCAGGCCCCAGACCATTTATTTATTTATTTATTTATTTATTTATAATTTGATTTATATCCTGCCCTCCCCAAACGGGCTCAGGGCGGCTAACAAATTAGGCACCAGGCCATGATTAAAACAACTAAGAATTAGGGCACAAAGCCATGATTAAAACACAAGATAAAACAATCCAATACTGTACTAAAGTGCTGGTGCTCTAGATATTCCTACTGTCCTCAATTCCAAGATGGGTTCTGGTAAAAATTTAAGCCCAGAACAACAGCATAAGTTCCATAGAAGTACTGCCATCCAATCTTCGTCCCAGGGCTGCCTTGCACCACGATGGTTCCCACCTAAATCATGGTGGAGGTGCGTGGATGGTACAATGGCGGCGGCAGCTCCTACTTTAAAGGTCAAAACCAGCACCTTGAAGTGAATCTGGTATGCTATCGGCAGCCAGTGCAGTGCCTTCAGCACAGGCTGGATATGCTCCCGCACAGAGAGACCCATCAGCAGCCTGGCTGCTGCATTTTGCACCAGCTGCAGCTTCCGGATTTGCGACAAGGGCAGCCCCTTGTAGAGAGTAGTGCAATCTCAAGGTGACCATTGCGTGAATCACTGTTCCCAGATCATTGCGTTCGAGGAAGGGAACCAACTGCCTAATCCACTGAAGATGGTAAAAGGCTGCCTTGGCAGTGGCTGCTACCTGGGCCTCCATACTCCATACCTTGAGCATACTGCACAGCACTGTCCATTTTATTCCCCATTTGTTAAATTACTCAGTCTAAGTCCCCTGCCTATCCACCATATAAACATTACCCCACCTCAGTCCAAAAAGTCTTGTGTTTCTCACAGACCCTTGTGCACTTTCCATTATGAACAGTTACCTAAGCAATTTTTGTTACAGTAACTGAGTTTTACTGCTTTACCTGTGAACCAGAGGAATGTGTTTTCCCTTGCAATGCTATCAACTTCGGCCTTTATTTGTCCCACCAGGGCATCCATCTGCCTCAGGTTTGCTCCATATGGATCTTGACAAGACAGATTGCAGGGCGGCTCTGTCATTACCAAAGGCACGTGCATATGGGCCAGGGCCAAGTACAGGAAGAATGGGTGGCCACGCTGGCTAAACAAGAAAACACAGGGATACACACTGATTAATCAAAGGATGGAGGAGATGATATGGACAATCACATAAGGACAGAACAGAGGGACACAGCTGCCCATAATCTTCTATTGGTACCATAGAAAACCTCTACGTTCACCAGTAACCACAATTTACTTATGCCCTGTGGTTTTCCCAATGCTCTACCCTTCCACTTCGGTCAGTCTGCCAACAACCCTTTCAATATCTTCCAGAGAACTTCAGTCTATTGCAGATGAATCTCACACATAACCTCTGGTCATGGCCATGCATGGCCTCTTGAGCTTCACCACCACCCTAAGTGAATAGAGAGGACACATCCAAAAAATCTCTTGCAACAGCCCATTGGTAATGGTGGGCAAGCTGTATTTTCGGAAAGACTGCCAGCCGTTACTGATCTTCTCATTAAGGTACCCAGGTAAACTTCTAAAGAACTGCAGTATCCCCAGACTACAATTTGATTTTAGGCAGGAAAGAGGAGGGAAAGCTGGGAGGCTTGTGAGAACACAAAGCAACACCATTTTAGTGCAATGCAGACTGTGAAGATGATTGCTATGCAAATTCCCAGGTGTGCAGTGGAAGTGTTCCTCCCATCTATTTCTCCTCTGGTAATTCACTGTTAAATCTGGAAGATTCGAAAGGAACAGCCTTCAAGGAACAGGGATCAGTGTTTCTCAGACATCTGAAATTTGAAGAACATTATTTTTCTGAATTAACACGAGAGCCACACTTCGCTCTTATCCCTCCCCCCCCCAAAAAGCTGGAAGGCGGCATGCTCACAATAGTGTTTCATGAAGGGATGCAATGGGTGGGCTCCTTCAAGGGCAGGTAATTGTGACACAACTGTACATCAAATGTGATGGAATTAATCACTTCTGATGCAAAGACACAGTAGAATTACTTTCTTTTATAAAAAACAAAAGTGAAAGGAAGTATTTCCAGACTCTCACAGGAACCTTTACTTACTCAAGCGCTCTCACAGCATCCTAGTGCTTCTCTCTAGTCACCTTAATGTACCTTGACATGTAGTTTGCAGAAAGGCTGGTGAAGGTTTCAGAATTCAGAAACATATCTTTTCTCCTCACCAAAAGAAACTCAGTGCATGCACAGATCTCCTTATTCTCTGGAAGACAGCATGGAATAGCCCTTCCTTGCATGAAGTATAAGAGGATTGACACCAATGCAAATGGGAAGAAACTGCACCAGGAATTGGGGCCTAATCACTGGAACAGAGCCCAACGTAAAGTGGGGGGGATGGAGATGCATTGGAAGGCACACCCAATGCAAAGCGAATTGTCTAGGATGGGTCAATACTCAGGTGAAAGAACAATACGCCAGCAGAATGGTAGGTTCACGAGGAGACTAGTGTAACTAGGGTTTCAAGCTCCAAGATAGGAAATTCCTAGAGATTTGGGGGTGGAACCCTCAGAGGGTGGTGTTTGGGGGAGGGGAGGTACCATAGCCAGGTACAATACCATAGAGTCTACCTTCCAGGGGAACTCCAGGAGAGCTCAAAGGGGATCTTTGTCATCTGGAGATCTTTGTATGACTTTAGCTTCGAGTCTTTTTTTTTTTAAGGGAAGCTATGCATTATGGGAAACTATGCAGACCCACCCTGGTCCACGTAGACAGCACACTTACACCAAACAAGTGCCTAGAGGGGCTGGCAAAGAAAATCTGTACGTTTCACAAGAACAAACAAATAAATTTAAGCTAGGCTGCAAATTTGTTTATGTAAATTAAGGGTTATACACAGACAGCAGGTCCCCCCACACACACACACCTTGTTCAGTAGCCTTTTTTAAAAGGCATGTTCTGTAAATCACAAGGATTGCATAGTCTTTTTGATCAAAGGTTTTGTTCACTGCCTTCAGGGCAGCTACTACAGCAAGTTCAATATATGCCTTTTGTAGAAATAAGGATGCCACTCACATACAGGAAAATGTTATATAAAGATAAGATGAAATAAGTGCAAAGAGAAGGTACAAAGGAGACAAAAGAGACTGGGATACCTGTGAATGGAAGATCATCTTTATGCTGGGGTGTGGCTCTGCCCCCAGGGACTGACCTGTGTAACCTCAACACTATTGTTCTATGCAGCTTTCCTACACCAATATGGCTAAATACCTTTTGACTCAGCACCTAAACAATATGTTGTGCTTTTCCCAGGTCTGTCTCTGGTCAATAGACAAGGTCTGGAAGTTCTGTGGTCAGAACTCAATTCAGATTAAAAGAGTGCTGTGTGTAGACAGGGGTCTTAAGTCTTCCTCTGCTGTTTGCTGTTTGCCCTACTGACCCGCTACATATGCCCCTATCAGTACAGGTTAAGTTTTCCAAACAGGGCAAACTGAAGTTCCTCAAGGCCATTTGCAGGCTGCGAAAACAGTGTGTGCACCATGGTCCAGATTCAAATTTCGCCATCATGTACCTGAGAACTGAGTTCCAAACATAGAAATCCCTTACCTCATTAGTCAACCAAACCTGACAGATCCTGGAAAAGGTATGTGCAGTTGTGCCATCATTTTCAGCTGCTTTACTGGGATATACAGATGTCCACTTGAAGTATATAATAAAAATGTCAGTGTCTCAATGTGTATAAAAACATTTAATGGGTTTTTGCACATACCACCTTAATTGATTCTGTAATCGTTTCTATATAAATAAATTCTAGACATGTAAAATTTCCAGAAATGTTGAAATCACAGGGGGAAAATATTCTTGCCTTTTTTTCTTCCAGAGATTTGGACTGAGCTGCCACCAATATGCAGATGAAGCTCAGTTCTATCTTGCACTGTCAACAGACCCCAAGGAGGCTGTGGAAACCAGGAACAGGTCCCTGGAGGCAGTTTTGAAATGGATGAGAGCTAATAAGCTGAACTGTAATTCCAACAAACTGGAGGTGCAACTGGTGGGGGAAGGTCTGACACGGGAAATGGGTTATCCCCTGTTCTGGATGGGGTTGCACTGCCCCCTAAAGAAACAGTTCATAGCTTGGGGGTGCTCCTGAACCTGGGCATCATGAGTCAGCCAGGGCTCAGTGATAGCGAAGACTCCTCAGGCAAAGAGGAGCCCCATGTAACCAGCCCTGAGTTAACAGAAGCTGACCAGCAGGAAAATGAGTTGCAGGCTTGTCAGGATTCACAGCCAACAGCTGGTGCAGAGCCACTGACACCCTCCAGCCCCGATTCAGCAGGTGAAACTCAGCTGGCCATTCCCAGCCCTCCAGTATCACCTACACCCTTAGAGTGTCGCAGACAGGCTGAGAACAGAGCTACAGGTGAGATGGCAAAGTGCACACCTTCTGGCCCAACGCCAGCTGCTTGCTGATAACAAAGATGAGCAGTTGCAAGATTGCTCCTGAGCAGCTGGCTGCAAGCATGACCTTTAGGCATGTGGGTATAAAACCATCCAAGAGAGGCTGCTAGGCGAGGATGCAACGCATACAATAGACACTAAGCCACCGACCCTGCCTTGCCTACCTTCTGGAACCCTGACCTGACACCTGACACTTGGAGCCTGCTAGCCAGTACACTGGGCCTCCCGTTGGATAAACAGGTAGCAGCAGTGACCTTTCAGCAGCTTTGACTGGTGAGCCAGCTGCAGCTCTTCCTGGATAGAAAAAAACTTGCCACTGTGGTACATGCTCTGGTAACAGCTAGATTAGATTACTGCAATGCACTCTACATGGGGCTCCCTTTGAACATTGTCCAGATGTTACAGTTGGCACAGAATGCTGTGGCCATAGTGTTGACTGGAGTGGGCTGTACGGACCATTTCTCTTTCCAGTCTTGTTCTACCTATGCTGGCTTCCAATTTGCTTCCAGGATCAACTCAAGGATCTAGTATTGAACTTTGAAGCACTGTATGGCCTGAGACCAACATACCATAAGGACTGCCTTCTCCTGTATGAACCTACCTGCTCACTTTGATCATCCTTGGAGGCCCTGTTTTGGTTGCTCCCACCATCTGAGGCTAGATGGGTGGCACCCTGAGAAAGGCCTTTTCCATTGTGGCACCAAAACTTTGGAACTCTCTGCCAAAGGAGATTCATCTGTCTCCCCCTATCAGTGTCTTCTGCCAGCAGATGAAGATGTTTTTGTTTCATCCACCTCACCCCCAATAATGGTCATTGCCCTTCCTTCTAGTTTTTAATTGGATTTTCTCATTTTAACTGTATTTTTAATTGTTTCAATGTTTTAGTGTTCAGCACTTTGTGGGCCCTATTGGGTAAAAGGGACCCTCAGCGCATCCCGGAGGGCTAGGCTCCCTGGGAGGGAGGTTCGGGGGACAAAGAAGGGTGCGGCAATCAGCGGCTGGGCCAGGGATCAGGCGGGCAGCCAGGAGTCATCTTCCCCTCCCCCTTCTCAGAGAACGGCAACGGGGGGGAGGGCAAGGACAAACTCCTCTCCGCAGCCTCCGGAGGACGGGCACGAGCCCGAGTAAGAGGCAACGGGAGGAGACGGGGCTTACCAGGTGGAGCGGGTGTGGAGACGCTGCAAACAACAGCGGCGGGCTCCTTGAGCTTGCCGGAAGCAGCCATTCCCCTGTGCTGGCCGACTCAAGGCGGGATCACGGAGGAAGTGCAGGAGGGCGGGACTAAACGAAAACCACACAATAGGTCTGAGATGAAAGGTGAAGGACAGGGGAAGAGCACAATCAGAGAATGGGAAAGGAAAGGGGAGGGATTATCTAGGGACTGGAGGAGGATAAAAGGAGAGAAGCCAAGAGAGCTGGGGAGGATTTTGGAGGCGACAAGCTTTGCCGGTGAGAGAGAACCAGATGCGGCTGTTGACCCCAAGGAGGGGATGGAGGAGAGTGACGTAGCTGCCCCTCCAAACCAAGGGGACAACCCCAGGCGTGGCAATATGCAAAACTTATTATTCTATCAAACCTAAACTCCTTTTACTAATTGAAGAGCATAACATACATCATTTGTAACTGAGTAAGTTAGCATAACAATTGTACTAGTTGGCATAGTGATG